TTACATGGTAGTCCTCTGTGTCATGTAGGTTACATGGTAGTTCTCTAGTTCCTGTAGGTTACATGGTAGTCCTCTGTGTCATGTAGGTTACATGGTAGTTCTCTAGTTCCTGTAGGTTACATGGTAGTCCTTTATGTCCTGTAGGTTACATGGTAGTCCTCTATGTCCTGTAGGTTACATGGTAGTCCTCTGTGTCATGTAGGTTACATGGTAGTTCTCTAGTTCCTGTAGGTTGCATGGTAGTCCTCTGTGTCATGTAGGTTACATGGTAGTTCTCTAGTTCCTGTAGGTTACATGGTAGTCCTTTATGTCCTGTAGGTTACATAGTAGTCCTCTAGGTCCTGTAGGTTACATTATAGTCCTCTATCTCCTGTAGGTTACATGGTAGTCTTTTATGTCCTGTAGGTTACATGGTAGTCCTCTAGGTCCTGTAGGTTACATGGTAGTCCTCTAGGTCCTGTAGGTTTCATAATAGGTCAAGAAAACAGCCATATTGGCTCGTTAAGTACATTAACATTAGCTGAACTTGGTACCCACAAGAGAAGGCAAGGAATTTTAGATGTCTATAGCATTATATTAAATGAATTATTAGACAGGGCAAATGATTCCTCCGTCATCTACCTTCTCCCGGTGTTATTATGAATAATTAAAGAATTATTATATTATTTGAGCTCCCACCAAATGTTATTCTATCCTAACAGTTTAATTAAACAGGTAAGACTGAATACACTTGGAATTTAACAAACGTAGTTTAAAACTTGACATACAGCTTTATTTACTACAATGAAATTCCCAGTTTGTTGATTTACACAAACAGTGACTGGTTAACGTGATGAGTGATACGCTTCAGCGAGAAAAACAGCTCCGGGGTTTAGAGTGGTATGATGATGGTGGTATGTTAACGGAAATGATGTTAACTTATCTTATAAGCCTCTGACAGCCGTGAGGAACTGTCAAGCTTGTCCAACTCTTCCTTGCCTGTTTTCTGCCTGTTTCAGCTTATTCTCCACTTCATCCCCACCTCGGTCTCAACATCGTTCCCACCTCGTTCTCCACCTCGTTCCCAGCTGGCCGAGTCTAACACAATGTAGTCTACTTCATGGACTGATCGTCACATGGGCGCTGGGAACTTTCCATCAATCGCCAAACCAGAATGCGACCGTAAAATTACCTTCAGGCTGCGATTAATGACGGGAATTCCCAAGCTCGAAGTATAAGTATCAATCTATTGTCCAAATTAAACTCCTCCCTTTACTTAGTTCTACCCAACCCTCAAGACGATGACTTAAGCCCCGCCTCTAAAGTACCTATCAGATCAAATTAGCTAACAAGTGGCCTGTCAGTCAATTCTGGACTGACATCCCTAGAGCAAACATTCTTAAGTGACCCAATCTAGTTTACAACGAATCTAACTAGCCGGTGGGAAAACAGTCCGTGAAGCCATTGTGTTTACTACTTGACCCAGATTAAACATTCCTAATTGCCAAACACCTGTTCTGCCAAGAATTACACTGACTTGCGAAACTCCGACCTCCCGGCTCCACAATGTCTAGCGTCCACTCAATTTCTACACTCTGGTCAGGAGATAACATTCTGACACTGGCGTGTGAAAGGAAATTCTCTAGCCCCGGTGTAATTGCGTAACATTACCCAAGACTCAGTCGCTTTGTCTGAACTAAGGACTGGAAACATTTAAATCAATTCTGGTTTAAAGTAATATTAGGGTAAAGGGCAGAGTAAATATAATCCTGTCTCTTTAGAACCAGAAGAACTTATTACAAGTACTAACTTCTGGAACCACTGAGATCGTTTCGTGACACATGTGTAGTTCCTTATGTCCGGTAGGTTCCATATTTAGTCATTTGTTTCCCGTAGTTCCACCGCATCATGTTTTCATCTATGTCATTGTTGCTCCTGTATCATGTAGTGCCCTTTGTCTTGTTTGTCATCTTTTCTTATAATTATTCCCTGTGCATTCTACAACGTGTTATAGTTCTCTGTGTATTCTACGACTGGTTATAGTTTTGTGTATTTTCAACTGGTTATAGTTTTGTGTGTAATCTACAACTAGTTATAGTTCGCCGTGTATTTTTTAACTGGGTATACTTCTGTGTATTTTTTTATTTTTTTTTTTTTTTTTTTTTTACTTTTTATAGTTTTTCGTGTTTTCTACAACCAGTTTTAGTTCTGTGTATTAAACAACTGGTTATAATTATGTTCATAATTTACAACTGGCGATAGTTCTCTCTGTATTCTACAACTGGCTTTAGTTTTGTATATTACATAACTGGCTATAGTTCTCCGGATTTTCTACAACTGGTTATAGTTCTCGGTTTAATTTACAACTGGTGGTAGTTCTCCGTGTATTCTACAGCTTGTTATAGCTCTCTCCGCGAATTTAACAATTAGTTAAGTTCTGTGTGTATTTTACGACTGGTTATAGTTCTCCGTGTGTTCTAAAACTAGTTATAGATCTCGGTGTATTCTACATCTTGTTATAGTTCTGTGTATTCTGCAACTGGTTATAGTTCTCCCTGTAATCTACAACTGGTTGTAGTTCTCCCTGTAATCTACAATTGGTTGTAGTAGTTCTGCGTGTATTCTACGGCGTATTAAAGTTCTCAGTGCATTCTACAGCTTATTATAGTTCTCGGTGCATTTTACGACTGACTAAAGCTCGTTATAAATCTTTTTTTTTTAAATGGTAATTTACATTACATTATAAAAATCTACAACACATTAGATATTCCCCACAGGTCCAGTTCTCTGATGTAACATGTTCGCATATTCCAACCCGCTTTCGTTGAGGTGTACTCTAAACCCGGTTTTGTTGAGGTGTACTCTAAACCCGGTTTTGTTGAGGTGTACTCTAAACCCGGTTTTGTTGAGGTGTACTCTAAACCCGGTTTTGTTGAGGTGTACTCTAAACCCGGTTTTGTTGAGGTGTACTCTAAACCCGGTTTTGTTGAGGTGTACTCTAAACCCGGTTTAACTGATGTGTACTTTAAACTTGGTTTTTATTTATGTGTACTCCAAACCTTGTTTTGATTGATGCGACTCCTAACTCTAATTTTATCGATGTGTATCCCCACTGCAGAAGTGGCGTCATGTTCTTCCTGATTATCAACCAACTCTTCTTCAACATGCCGGCCGTCGACGTGTTTATTAAAGAAAGGAAAATTTTCATGTAAGTGTCTGGTTCTCTTACACACACACAGACACACACTTATACACACGCATATGTATAGATACACACGTACCCACCCACACGCACGTACCCACCCACACGCACGGACCCACCCACAAGCACGTACCCACCCACACGCACGTACCCACAAACGTGCTGCATTACAAATTGATAATGAACTAGGTCTGTTCTAACCAGTCAGGACAGGTTTGTGACAGGATGTGTACTGTCTACATATATGTTGTCCTTGTTTAGTGAAAATATTTGACGACATCCGAAAAACATTAAAGGAATTGCCATGGGAGAGGGGGAGGGGAGAAAAAGGGGAGGGGCTGTAACATCAACCATAAAATACAGGCAGATGATACGATGTTAACTGCTGGCAAGGCAAATTATTTTCAGTTTTAAACGGATACAGTGAGAAACTAGGCTTAGAGTTAAACTGTAATGAAAATAACATTATTCTCGATGCAATGACTCTTCTTGGACTCTGATGATAAGCAGTCTACTCTGATACATTCTCGAGAGTGTAACAAAGCAAGCTAGAACACATGTTGAGAAAACAAAAAAACAGCTGATAACACCTCAATTTTACCTGCAACGACGTCCTCTAAATCAAGAAAATGTCATATAAACGGATGTCTAGGGTCCTATCCCTATCCACAAGCATCTTAGTTCCTATGACAGTTATAAGAATGGACTGTGTCACTTCACCCTACGCTCACACAATCAGAATCAGATAAGTACCCAGTCGCAACGTCATTGCGTGACGTCATTTATTCTTTAGCCAGGTTTCTCCAAGTTGGAAAGTTTCAGCAGTCCCGTACTTAATTTAGGATTCATTCAATTCAAGATTAATTCGCTTAATGAACTTTAACCTCCATAGAGACCAGCTCGAAACAAAACTAAACTAAACTCAGTTTCTCCTGGCTTAACAAGCCTCTTCCTTTCGTTCTAGAATGTTCTCACACATTCCTTGTACTTTCCGTTTCTTGTGACTTTTGGCCTTTACGTAAGATCCACGTTTAACTCGTAAAGTTCATGTTTACGTTGTCTTGACTGACATTCAGTGTGTTCACTCATGCATTATTCTTAAGACCACCCATTCAGCATAGTTTATGAAAATGAGAGACGAAAGGAGAAACTGACTCATTACAGTTGTCACCCAAAAAAAAAAGAGAGAAAGACCAAAGGGGGAAATGCACACAAACAGCAGCAAGTCAAAGGATATAACTATCTTGGAACAGTCACGACATCTGATGCGTGATGCCTTGTAGAAAATAGAACCAGAATAGTCATGGCATAAGTGGCCACAATTGCAATGATAACAAGGGCGTTCAAGCAGACAGCATAAAATAGAAACGTCAAAGAAAAGTTTTTGATAAGAGTTCAAAGAATATCACGGAGGAATAGAAAAACAAACGAACCAATTCTCATAAGGCATATGAAATAAATAATAAACTATCGCGACTGTGAAAACTATAAACTGTTCTGATCGCAAGAACTAATAAATTGTTGTCTCTAGGGTGAAAGAAAAATATAAACTGTTGTCTCTCGGGAAAACAAATGTTTGTCACTGGGAGCACTAATAAATTATTGTAACTGGAAGAACTAATAAATTGTTGTGACTGTAAGAACTAATTAAGTACTGTGATCGGGAGGACTAATAAACTGTTGTGTTTGCGATAATAAATTGTTGTGTTTGAAGAAGCAATAAACCGCTGTGTTTAGATAAATTAATTGTAAAAATGTGTCATTAGAAGAGTTAACAAACGAATGTGATTGGAACTAATCAGAAGTGATGATTGTTCAGGCACGAGAACGTCAGCGGCTTCTATCGGGTGTCCGTCTACTTTATCGTCAAAGTTCTCTTCGACATAATCCCCCTACGGACGATACCAGTTGTCATCATGTCCTGCATCGTCTACTTCTCCACAGGTGAGTACAAATCCCTGTCATCTACATCTCTATATTGGAGTATAGTGTCCACTATCATCTACAACTTCCCTTGAGAGTATAGTGTTCCCGTTAATCTACATTTCCACATGGAAGAGTATAGTTTCCCCTTGCATCTAGAGAAATCAGAACACTTATCAAAGGAAAATGCAAGGGATTGTGGAGAGAACAAACTAACAGTAAACATCCACAAGACCCCATCAGCAGACTCAACAGAAAGCAACATACAACAATTTTCCGTCTAAGAACAGGACACTGCAGGCTCAGCTACCACATGCATAAAATAAAGATTGTACAGTCTCCCTAGTGTGACTGTCAAACAGGACCCCAAACACCTCAGCACATTCTGCAGACCTGCCCACTCTACCTGCAACTTCGAAAAGACACCTGGCCTCAAGAGCAGAGTGTGCAGAGCAAGCTATGGGGGAACCATGCAAGGCCTGCAGCTGACATGCGAGTTCATAGAGGCAACCCACCTGATGGTCTGATCTGAGCATACGAAACCGAACGCAAAGAAGAAGAAGAAGAAGAAGAAGAAGACGAAGAAGAAGAAGAAGAAGAAGAAGAAGAAGAAGAGAGATCTACGTCTCCACATTGGTGCATAGTGTGCACTATCATCTACATCTCCATATGTATAGTGTCCCCTTAACATCTATATCTCTATATGAAAGTATAGTCTCTGCTATCATCTACCTTATTACATAGAAGCATAGAGTCCCCTATCATTCACATCTCCACATAGTTGTATCGTGTCACCTAGATCTCCACATAAGAGTATAGTGTCCTCCAAATAATAGAATAGTGTCTTCTATCACCTGTATATCCAAATGGGAGTATAATGTTCCATATCAGCTACATCTAAATATGGGAGTATAGTGTCCTCTTAACATCTACATCTCTATATGAAAGTATAGTCTCTGAAGAAGAAGAAGAAGAAGAAGAAGAAGAAGAAGAAGAAGAAGAAGAAGAAGAAGAAGAAGAAGAAGAAGAAGAAGAAGAAGAAGAAGAAGAAGAAGAAGAAGAAGAAGAAGAAGAAGAAGAAGAAGAAGAAGAAGAAGAAGAAGAGAGATCTACGTCTCCACATTGGTGCATAGTGTGCCCTATCATCTACATCTCCATATGTATAGTGTCCCCTTAACATCTACATCTCTATATGAAAGTATAGTCTCTGCTATCATCTACCTTAGTACATATGAGCATAGTGTCCCTATCATCTACATCTCCCAATTGGAGCATAGTGTCCCCATCATTCACATCTCCACATAGTTGTATCGTGTCACCTAGATCTCCACATAAGAGTATAGGGTCCTCTAAATAATAGAATAGTGTCTTCTATCACCTGTATATCCATATGGGAGTATAGTGTTCCATATCATCTACATCTCCAAAAAAGAATAGTTGTCTATAATTTGTATATCCATATGGGAGTATAGTGTTCCATTTCATCTACATCTCCAAAAAAAGAATAGTTGTCTATAATTTGTATATCCATATGGGAGTATAGTGTTCCCTTTCAGCTACATCTCCATATGGGAGTATAGTGTTCCCTATCAGCTACATCTCCATATAAGAGTATAGTGTTCCCTATCAGCTACATCTCCATATGGGAGTATAGTGTTCCCTTTCAGCTACATCTCCATATGGGAGTATAGTGTTCCCTATAATCTATATTAATATATGGTTATACAGTGTTCCCTATCATCTACATCTCCATATGGGAGTATCGTTTCATCCAGATCTCCACAAAAGAGTATAGTTTTCCTCTATCATCTACATCTTCAAATAATAGAATAGTGTCTTCTATCACCTGTATATTCATATGTGAGAATAATGCTTCTTATCAGCTACATCTATACATGAGAGTATAGTGTCCCATATCATCTACGTCTCAAGATGACACTAAAGTTTCCAGTATTGTCTAAATCTCCTCATAGGAAGTATAGTGTCCTATCATCTATATCTCCACATGGGGTCGAGGGTCATAGAGACTCCTGGCTGGAGTGGTTAAGGTTCTCGGGCAGTGGAGCACACCGGCTGTTTCCCCTTGTGAGTCTCTGCGTAATGAAATATAGGCAGAAAGGGGTTAAATGAACAAAGCATACATCTCAGATCAGCATAAAAGCACGCCTATCCATCACTCGTTGGCATGACAGAAAACAGTGATTAGAAAGCTGGCCGACCAGCGATACAGATAAAACCAGATGTACTGTGACCAGTTGAAGAGATACGTTTATCCAAACGTGACCACCAAAGACAGGTGACAGGGGGTGATTGAGAACGCACGCGAGAAAGAGAGGAAAAGCGAGGGGAGGTCAGCAAGGAGCGAGCGGTTTGAGGGATCAGAAGGACAGTTAGGACTGCACCGCTTGAGAGACCAGTTGGGAAAACTAGAGCTGTACTTCGTTTAGAAGATATATATTAAACTTGGAGTTTAGCTAAGAGAGTGATTAAGGAACTCATAGAGAGACATACGAATAGCCAGTAATAAGATAATGAAGTGTTCCTATACTATTGGTTATTGAAATGATTGATTCTGTTTGACTTGACAATATTGTGAATAAACTGCTGTGTAATTGTTACACCACTGGCCTTGTTCTTGAGTACATTCAAGAGAGCTACGAACAGTATCCAGACACCTTGGCCGTATTAGGCACATCCATACTTGGGGGATGTGAAGACCACGACTGTGTCACATCTGTGTATAACCTTACAGGTGAAAAGGGAGTACTCAGATGATCTGGTAGACCTTTCTACAGATAAGACCGTTGTGCGTGACCACAAGAGCACATCCTACACAAGGTGTCCCTGTTAACCCCAAGCATAAAGTGGATCCACGTGCTGAGAGACTGAATGGCTGTGGGATAAGCAGTCGTCAACATGGACGTCTGGTCAGCGGAAGGGGCGGCGCCAGGCATATGGACTCCATAAGGACATCGTTGCCTCTTCCCTAGCAGGCAGGCTCTAATAGGGTGACCGGTTACTGTCTGCTTCCTAACCACTTGAACATATGGATTTTTCATTTTCATTTAAAAAAAATTGTCGCTGGAGCTACAGAGCACTTGCCCTCCGCTTGACGTCATCTTCAGCAAGCAGCGAAGAGACAGTGGATAGACGATAACATGGAAATGGTGAGAGAAGAAAGCAAAGAAAAAGAAGAGCAGGAGCCAGGAGACTTGGGCGAAAAACAGAACGGCTGGGGTTCAATCATGTAAGAAAGTGCTTTTGGAACTGCCGTAGTGCAAGACAGAGAGGGAGGTCCCATACTAGAGGGGTTGATTTATGACTTTGATGTACTCATGCTTCTGGAACTGTCGTAGTGCCAGACAGAGAGGGAGGTCCCATACTAGAGGGGTTGATTTATGACTTTGATGTACTCATGCTTTTGGAACTGCCGTAGTGCCACACAGAGACGGCCCATACTAGAGAGGTTGATTTACGACTTTGATGTAGTCATGCTTCTGGAACTGTCGTAGTGCCAGACAGAGAGGGCCTATACTAGAGAGGTTGATTTACGACTTTAATGTAATCCTGCTTCAGGAGCTAAATGACGATAAATTGCATTTCTCTGGATGTGTCAGCTACGTAAACCCGGTTAGACATCATGGGAGACATGGCAAATGTCCGCAAGTGACGGAGGGCTTGAAATATGTGGTGTCTGACCTTAGTCTCTGGAATCATGATGCTAGAGAGGTGCAGGGGATACAGGTGGAGATTGGCGGCCTTTGCTAGAACATAATAAACGTATGTGCTGTCGTGGGCTCTTTAGTTACAAACAAACAATGGGGCTGGCTGAAAAACCTGGTGGGGATCCCTGGCAACGGACTCTTCATTTGCGGAGATTTCAATGCACGGAACAATGAACGGGACAGTATTGGTGAAAACCGACAGAGATCTGCCCTTGCTGACGAAATGGTTGATTCAGACCCTGTCTGTTTACATGGTGGCACGCCAACTAGAATGACAATAAGACCCAGCGATCCAGACACGGCTACTGACCTGGCTCTGGTTTCCCATCAGCAGTACTGGACACCATATAGACTGTCCTGGGCGATCATGGAAGTGACCGTCTGCTATGTTTGGTATTGATCTCCAAATCGAGGAAAGTCAAGGCTTCAAGATCTCATAGGTCTTTCAGAAATGAGCGAACTAACACCAATTTTGGACTCCTCCGACAGAGGGCACGTGAGAGGGCCGGCAGATCTACCTTGTTGCAGCTTCAATGGTGGAAATAAGAGGTTGAACAGGCATGAAAATTAAAGAGAGCTGCAGTAAAGCATTTAAATAAAGTGCGACAGACAGCCCCAAGCTCACTGGAGGAGTTGGTGTGCTCGGAAAATGATAAGAAAGAGTTTGTCAAGCGTTGTGCAGCAGAGGCGGAAAAAAAAGCAAAATAGGAGCATTTTATTGATGAGATTGGGAGCGGTAAGACACTGGGTAAGTTTTTGAAGCTACATCGACAGATGCTCAAGAAAGATTGGCCCAGCATAGTACGGGCAATTCATAGAGATGACGGTATGCTATTAACCAAAGACAAAGAGAAGAAGGAGGCTTTCCTGAAGAGATTCATTTCACAGACAGACCACAATGATGTTGATAATAGAGATAGAGTTAGAGAAGATCTAGCAGTCATCTTAAAGAACAAACATAATGAAGACATCAGACAGGTGGGAGATGTAAAACGTGTTCTGAAAAGGGCGAAAGACACTGCACCCGGCCTCGGCTGATTTAGATATTCCCACATGAAAGACATGAGTGATACAGACCTGTTGGAGATGACTGCTTGCCTAAACCAGAGTAATTAGACAGCTTTAGTCCCAGAAGAGATGATGCCCTGCTACCTGATTCCACTTCCTAAGCCTGGCGAGAATCATTCAACACTCAGCGGCTTTAGGATCATAACCTTACAAAACACCTTTGGCAAAGTGTTGGAGAAGATAGCTGCGGGTAAGCTACAAGAATTTTTGGAACAGAGAAATCTCCTTCCAGGAGGTTTGGGAAGTTACCTGCCGGTGAAGGACACATAGTCAAATGCAGCCGCTTTTGCCTTTAATACCTTCGAAGGTTTCCAGAACAGACAGGAAATGGTGGCAGCGACACTTGATTTAGAAGACGCTTACAATAGAGTCAGATACAGTATCTTTATAAAAGCGCTTATCGAGAAGGGAGTCTGTCTCTGGTTGGTGAATTCGATAGCAGCCGTTTTGTATGGTCTGGTAGTCTGGTAGTCTTAGTTTCAGCTTCATAGCAAACGGGTCGCCCCATCTTTGCTCTGCTCCTGTGCCAGCGAAAAACACCCAGAATGTTTATCACAGTCCCTTGTGGAAAGATTGACAGACTGCTGTCTCAGCATATCTAGCATACACTCGCATTAAAGCATATGGTAGCCATCCGAAGTGCTAACACAAACAGTCCAACATTAGAAATGCAGTTCATCATTGATGATAGCAGAACTTGTCGCCAACAGATCAGCAGTTTCCCACGCGATCAATTGTAATCACACACGGGCACCGCCAACATTGACGACCGGCATCGCGCCATTTTCTGAATCTACAATTCACACCACGTTGGTCACAGTCGAAAAAACATTCCAAATGCAATCCGCAGCTCACAGGGTCACGCCATGCATTCAACTCAGAAGCTGGGCGACGAAACTATATCCAGTCTACAAATGGAGCAAAAATACTTCGGCCACCGTCCGGCAGAAGCAAAAAATTTGCCTCCGCTCCGACACAGCGCCGCTGTCTAGCGTCCATTTTAACCGTTTTGTATACTCGCCGGGTAGCTCTCCATTTGGGTTCATGGACCTGTAAACCATGTATTATAGCTCAAGGAGTATCAATGGGATGTGCAATTTCACCTGTTCTGTTTAATGTTTTTACGAGCAAGATTACCTACCTGGAAACACCTGGAGTTGGCAGAATGTTGATGTTTGCAGATGATGTTCTTGTAAATAGGAGTGGGAGAGGTCGGAATCAAATAACTGAAGAGTTATAGGCAACAGTAGATAAGGTGATTGACTGATGTACAGAGATGAATGCTGTAATCAACGCAGAAAAAAAAGTCCTGTGGTGTTCTTTGGACAACATGATTGTTAGAGTTCCCAGACTCAAAATAAATGGCAGGACATCAAAAGAGACAGCAGCCTGCGGTACATGGGAATCACTTTTGACAGACGTTTGTCTTTCAAGAATCTCATAGAAGGGGTTGTGACAAGGGCTCAAAAAGTTCTAAATGCACTAAAGATTATGGCAGCTATAGACATGGAGCAGATAATGCCTTTCATACTTTACCAGCACTAACTCGTCTCAGCGATAGATTTTGGATTGGAGTTACTCCTGTCTCGAAGAGTCAGCTAGAGAATCTGGAGCACATACAGAATGGAGCTATGCGGCTGATCCTAGGATGTGCAAGATACACCCCGAATGTGTGCTACAGCCCGATTGTGTGCATGCGATACATCCTTGAATTGCCGACTATAGCAAATAGGCTAAAGGTGCTGCAGGCTAACTCATACCTCAGAGTAGCTGCAGACAGGGAACTCCCTCTGTATGAAGCTTTGGCTGCATATAAGGGTCAGAGGCTGAGAAGGGGAAAATCGTGGATAACTCAAGTAGAAGACAAAATAAGACAAGTATGCATGCTGGATTTCATTGGGCGAAGAGAGGAGTGGGTTAGAGTACAAGCGGAAATGTCTATTCTGTGTAGAGTTATGATCACACTGGGTCGCGTGTGCAGAGTATGGCCAGTGGATGCTGCGGAGGTTCAAGTCCAACAGTTAATTCACAACAATTCACGCCCAGGTTATCTGATTATCTATACAGATGGTTGGGTATTGAGAGGAAAGCAAAGTGCCTAGGGGTTCATAGCGAAAGCCAATGGAAAATCTGGAATGCAAGACAGCCTGGCATACGACACCTCAACATTTAGCATGAGAATGATGGTGGAGGCGGTTACTGCAGCTCTCCGGTGGCCAGAGAACTAGATGCATATGTCCCCTGTAGCGTGTCGGACAGACATGTCACCTGTAGCATGTCGTCACAGACATGTCACCTGTAGCATGTCGGACAGACATGTCACCTGTAGCATGTCGTCACAGACATGTCCCCTGTAGCATGTCAGACAGACATGTCCACTGTAGCATGTCAGACAGACATTCCACTGTAGCATGCCGTCACATACATGTCCCCTGTAGCATGTCAGACAGACATGTCCCCTGTAGCATGTCAGACAGACATGTCCACTGTAGCATGTCAGACAGACATGTCCCCTGTAGCATGTCGTCACAGACATGTCCCCTTTGCATGTCAGACAGACATGTCCACTGTAGCATGTCAGACAGACATGTCACCTGTAGCATGTCAGACAGACATGTCACCTGTAGCATGTCAGACAGACATGTCACCTGTAGCATGTCAGACAGACATGTCCCCTGTAGCATGTCAGACAGACATGTCACCTGTAGCATGTCAGACAGACATGTCCCCTGTAGCATGTCAGACAGACATGTCCTCTGTAGCATGTCAGACAGACATGTCCACTGTAGCATGTCGTCACAGACATGTCCACTGTAGCATGTCGTCACAGACATGTCCCATGTAGCATGTCAGACAGACATGTCCCCTGTAGCATGTCAGACAGACTTGTCACCTGTAGCATGCCAGACAGACATGTCACCTGTAGCATGTCAGACAGGCATGTCACTTATAGCATGTCAGACAGACATGTCCACTGTAGCATGTCAGACAGACATGTCCACTGTAGCATGTCAGACAGACATGTCACCTGTAGCATGCCAGACAGACATGTCACCTGAAGCATGTCAGACAGACATGTCACCTGTAGCATGTCAGAAAAACATGTCACCTGTAGCATGTCGGACAGACATGTCACCTGTAGCATGTCAGACAGACATGTCACCTGTAGCATGTCAGACAGACATGTCACCTGTAGCATGTCAGACAGACATGTCACCTGTAGCATGTCAGAAAAACATGTCACCTGTAGCATGTCGGACAGACATGTCACCTGTAGCATATGTCACCTGTAGCATGTGTCGTCACAGAGATGGCGTGTGTAGCATTTCGTCACAGAGATGGCGTGTGTAGCATGTCGTCACAGAGATAGTGTGTGTAGCATGTCGTCACAGAGATAGCGTATAGTGTGTCGTCACAGAGATAGCGTGTAGCATGTCGCCACAGAGATAGTGTGTGTAGCATGTCGTAACAGAGATAGCGTGTAGCATGTCATAGAGATAGCGTGTGTAGCATGTCATCACAGAGATAGCGTATAGCATGTCGTCACAGAGATAGCGTGTAGCATGTCATCACAGAGATAGCGTATAGCGTGTCGTAACAGATATAGCGTGTAGCATGTCATAGAGATAGCGTGTGTAGCATGTCGTCACAGAGATAGCGTGTAGCATGTCGTCACAAAGATAGCGTGTGTAGCATGTCGTCACAGAGATAGCGTGTGTAGCATTTCGTCACAGAGATAGCATGTAGCATGTCGTCACAGAGATAGCGTGTAGCATGTCGTCACAGAGATAGTGTGTGTAGCATGTCGCCACAGAGATAGTGTGTAGCATGTCGTCACAGAGATAGCGTGTAGCATGTCACAGAGATAGCGTAAAGCATGTCGTCACAGAGATAGCGTGTAGCATGTGGACCCAGTAACCATCTAGACTTTGTTCTCGAGCAGGTCTCAATCCAGGAGCCCAACACTTCTTGCTGTTCATGCTGACCTTGCTGTGTACGACCTTGGCCGGAGCCGCCCTGTGTTTCCTGGCAAGTGCCATGGTTCGAGAGTTCGCCATGGCGCAGATCATCCTGGCCCTAGTCTGTATTTTAATGATGGTAGGCTGGCTCATGTAGACAACTGCTGACTGACCCGTGGACACTGTTGTTGACTGCCACGTGGACACTGTTGTTGACTGCCACGTGGACACTGTTGTTGACTGCCACATGGACACACTTGTTGACTGATCCATCGGCACAGTTTTTAACTGATCGTGGACAGAGCTGTTTGAGTGGTAGACTAGTTGTTGACTGACTCGTGGACACTATTATTAACTGATTCATTGACACAGTTGTTGACTCGTGGACATAGTTGACTGTCTCGTTGTCACAGTTGTTGACTGTCTCATGGACACAGTTGACTCAATGAAACAGCCCCAGGCTGACTTGATGACACAGTTGCTGATTAATTGACACAGTTGTTGACTCGTGGACATAGTTGACAGTCTCGTTGTCACAGTTGTTGACTGTCTCATGGACACAGTTTACTCCTTGAAACAGCTCCAGGCTGACTTGTTGGCATAGTTGTTGACTGGTTGATACAGTTGACTGATATACAGTTTACTCGTGAAAAGTCGAAGCTGACTTGCGGACAAGTTGACTCGTGGACATAGTTGACCAAGACACACCTGATACTGGTGGCCTGTGTCATTTGCCCAGCTACCTCTGTCGAACAGTCAGACTATTAGGCAACAACCCAAGTTGTACAGTCATAGTATTTACACAACTACCTCTGTTGTACAGAGACAGTTACCTCTTGTAAGACCGAACCGTTTACACCACTACTTCTGTTGTGCAATCAAACCATTTACAAATTTGCCACTTGAGTATAGCGAAACCATTCACCCAGGTACTTATGTGGTTCAGTTACATCAGGTACACGGCTACTTCTGTTGTACTGTCAAACTACATACATGCACTAACAACACTCATATATTCAAATAATTTTCAGCTTACCCTCATTTACATGCATTCGTCATTTATGTCGGTAAAACGTCTATTTGTAAAAACTGCTTACATGTTTTTGTTTTCATGAGCAGTTTGTACATCTAGCGATAAAAATGTAATTAACATGATAAGACGGACATTCAGTTATAGACTGATGACACATTCGGTACAAAACGTGTCCTCGTAATGTCCCTATCGCCTCATTGTAACACATGCTCATTGCACATGAATTGGCCAAAAACAAGAAAGCTCTCACAATTGAAGAACTGCAGGTTAAATTGTTGCGTTTTATTTCCTACACAAATTATTGAGTTTAATTCAGGAACTGACATTACAACACTCGGGAATTCCTATAAACGCTCTGTCACCATCTTCAGCAGCCTGAGCAAAGTTTCAGCTTCGATGGTACCACTACCAATCAGATTGTAAGTCGGTTTTGTCTTTCCTGTTAGTGTGAAGTATCGGCCAAATCCAGTAACTACTCTTCGTTACAGATCGACCGATTGGAAAGGGGGAGGGGGGGTAAGGACTGGCCCTCGCGGCCCCCACTGGCCTCTAAGGTTTCTGCACGCGGACAATACGAGCGACTTCTTAGTTCTACACAGAGGACATGTCGGGTCGGTGGTCGTCTGCTACTTGGCCATGTCGGCGTCAGAGCGTAACAAGTCCTAAGCTGATCTTAGAACAAAGCTCAACTGCAGCGGGGCCATTCGACATGTGAGTGTTTTTGGCAAGGCCTCTCGAGGCCGATCTATTGGCCTTGCTGCGATTATTGGGTTGCTTTTTGGACCTGAATCTAGTTTTGGGAGTCCCTAATCTGCTTTGTCACCATGTCTTTGCGCTCTTTGGTCGAGGCTTTAGATCACCACATGACTTGTCCTTGCCTAAAGCCGCGTCAATTGGTTTGTATGTAATCAATGATTTTCCGCAATGTTAGTGCTTTCTGCGGCCACTGTGGGGTCTAAAGACTCGCGCAACATCATGGCAAGCCCTATTTTGTCGACTTTAAACTCTTCAGTTATTGATTTGAACCTAAGCACCAGCTTAGCCTTCTTACAATTCAGAGCCACGTCGGTCAGCTGGGGGGGGGGGGGAGAGGGGGGGCGCTCCAGCCAATTCCTCACAGCGGTGTTGAGTTTCCGCTCCATCACCTCCACTGTGCTCGTGCTACTTCGTACACTATCAGTGGCCAGAGGAGATATGCAATCTACACACACACTCACAGACACACACACACACACACACACACACACACACACACACTCACAAACACACACACATACTCACAGGCACACACACATACTCACACACGGACACAGGATTTAATTTAGTTGCGTATCCTTTAGGGCACGTTGCAGAACCAACCCAAGCATTTTTGGGCGGCTTTTGTGGTCTTCTAGGCAAATTTTACGTTCAGTAGTTTGCCTTTGTAGTGAGCGGTCAACTCTGTCGAAAGCAAAGGTCAACTCTCGGTAGCCCTGTCGAAACCAACGGTAAACTCTCCGTAGCCCTGTCGAAACCAACCGTCAACTCTCGGTAGCCCTGTCGAAACCAACGGTCAACTCTCGGTAGCCCTATCGAAACCAACCGTCAACTCTCGGTAGCCCTGTCGAAACCAACGGTCAACTCTCGGTAGCCCTATCGAAACCAACCGTCAACTCTCGGTAGCCCTGTCGAAACCAACACAAGACGTTCTGCAGCCAAATCGCTGGAGCTGGGATCGAACCCGGTCACAGACGCTGACAGTTGTACAGAGACATGAAAAACAGACNTTATTAATGATTCCTTGACACAGTTTGTTGATCGTGGACAGCATAGTTGACTGTCTCGTTGTCAAAGTTGTTGACTGTCTCATGGGACACAGTTGACGCATGGAAACAGCCCCATGGTTGACATTGTTGACACAAGATTGCTGACTGACTGACACAGTTAGTTGACTGTCGTGGACATAGTTGAACAGTCTCGATGTCACCACAGTTGTTGACTGTTTCGTATACACAGTTTACCTCCTTGAAAACAGCTCCAGGGCTGACTTGTTGACATAGTTGTTGACTGGTTGATACAGTTGACTGATATACAGTTTACTCGTGAAAAGTTGACAGTCGTAGCTGACTTGCGGACAAGTTGACATGTGGACATAGTTGACACATTCGGTACAAAACGTCCCTAATGTCCCTATCGCCTCATTGTAACACATGCTCATTGCACATGAATTGGCCAAAAACAAGAAAGCTCTCAAAATTGAAGAACTGCAGGTTAAACTGTTGCGTTTTATTTCCTACACAAATTATTGAGTTTAATTCCGGAACTGACATTACAACACTCGGGAATTCCTATAAACGCTCCGTCACCATCTTAAGCAGCCTGAGCAAAGTTTCAGCTTCGATGGTACCACTAACAATCAGATTGTAAGTCGGTTTTGTCTTTCCTGTTAGTGTGAAGTATCGGCCAAATCCAGAAACTACTCTCCGTTACAGATCGACCGGCAGTAACCAGTCCCTCGCCACAATTAAGCATCTCAGTCAAGTATCGATGGAGAATATGCGACTCCGTTGATTTTACTTTTAGAAATCTGCCCGGCTTTGAGGAAGCGCATTGAAAAAAAAAGGGGGGGGGGGGGAGGGGGGTAAGGACTGGGCCCTCGCGGCCCTCATCCTAGCTTTATCCACAATCTCCGCTGGTTCTTTCAGGGTTTTATTGAATCCAGCCTGGCCTCTAAAGTTTCTGCACGCGGACAAAATGAGCGCCTGCTTAGTTCTACACAGAGGACATGTCGGGTCGGTGGTCGTCTGCTACTTGGCCATGTCGGCGTCAGAGGGTAACACGTCCTAAGCTGATCTTAGAACAAAGCTCAACCGCTGCGGAGCCATTCGACATGTGAGTGTTTTTGGCAAGGCCTCTCGAGGCCGATCTATTGGCCTTGCTGCGACTGTTGGACCTGAATCTAGTTTTGGGAGTCCCTAATCTGCTTTGTCACCATGTCTTTGCGCTCTTTGGTCGAGGCTTTAGATCACCACATGACTTGTCCTTGCCTAAAGCCGCGTCGATTGGTTTGTATGTAATCAATGATTTTCCGCAATGTTAGTGCTTTCTGCAGCCACTGTGGGGTCTAAAGACTCGCGCTACATCATGGCAAGCCCTAATTTGCCGACTTTAAACTCTTCAGTTATTGATTTGAACCTAAGCACCAGCATAGCATTCTTACAATACAGAGCCACGTCGGTCAGCTAGGGGAGGGGGGGGGGGGGCGCTCCCAGCCAATTCCTCAAAGCGGTGTTGAGTTTCCGATCCATCACCTCCACTGTGCTCGTGCTACTTCGTACACTATCAGCGGCCAGAGGAGCTTTGGAATCTACACACACACTCACAGACACACACACACACACACTCACAAACACACACTCACAAACACACACACATACTCACAGACACACACACATACTCACACACGGACACATGATTTAATTTAGTTGCGTATCCTTTACGGGACCTTGCAGAACCAACCCAAGCATTTTTGGGCGGCTTTTGCGGTCTTCTAGGCAAATTTTACGTTCAGTAGTTTGCCTTTGTACTGAGCGGTCAACTCTCGGTAGCCCTGTCGAAAGCAACGGTCAACTCTCGGTAGCCCTGTCGAAAGCAACGGTCAACTCTCGGTAGCCCTGTCGAAAGCAACGGTCAACTCTCGGTAGCCCTGTCAAAACCAACGGTCAACTCTCGGTAGCCCTGTCAAAACCAACACAAGACGTTCTGCAGCCAAATCGCTGCAGCTGGGATCGAACCCGGTCACAGACGCTGACAGGTGTACAGAGACATGAAACAGACAACCATTGACACTGTTGTACAGAGACATGGAACAGACAACCATTGACACAGTTGTACAGAGACATGGAACAGACAACGATTGACACTGTTGTATAGAGACATGGAACAAACAACCATTGACACAGTTGTATAGAGACATGGGACAGACAATCATTGACACAGTTATACAGAGACATGCAACAGACCATCATTGACACAGTTGTATAGAGACATGAAACAGACAACCATTGACACAGTTGTATAGAGACATGGAACAGACAACCATGGACACAGTTGTATAGAGACATGGA